GCTCCCTCTCAGCTGCTCTCCAGCTCCCACCCACCCGTGCAAAGGGGCATGCTGGGGCTGCTCACAAGAGTCTGCATGCGTGTACAAGCCTGCCAAGATGCCAGCATGCGGGTGCTCAGGAGGAAGGGGCATGTATCCGAGTATGCTTCCACATACAGAAGCTGGTCTGAGAGGCCATGCCTGGGGCGGGATCTGCCTTGCCCTCTGGGGGTCCTCAGGTTCCTGTGATGGCCCCCCTCTGTCCCAAACAAGTCTTTCTCAGTGGTCCAGGCCAGCAGAGGCAGCACTGGACCCCATGCCCCAGGGGCCTGAAGACCCCCTGGAAGCACAAACCTTCCCCCACCCCTATCAGGCCCTTAGATTTCAAATGACACCCCGCCCCCCCAAAAGCCAAACCTACTGTTGAGATTCCAACAGTGTGAATCCAGCGAATCGTTTCATCAGTCTCTCATGTATTTTTTCATTCATCACCCACACTCTCACCTTCACCCCTTCCTAGGCACATCCCCTACCTCAGATCCCTACCCCAGGCTGTCACTCTCCTCCCCTACCTCCCGTTCCTAGACCTTGGGTGGATGGAGCTTACCAGAGCAGAAAGCTCATCTTTCTCCTGAGGTGTGCTTCATGGGTTTGAACTGCTGGCCCTATGGTTCACAGCCCAATGCCAACAAAGCTCCTGCACAAATCAAGTTTCAGGGCAATAAAACCACCTTGGATGAGCAAACACAATGGACCAGATGCATCTGAGCTGCCGCCGGGGACGGAAAAAGCTTCCTCTCCTCTCCTCTCTCAGCCCAGCCCCCCCACTTTCTTCCCTCCATCTCCAGCCAGTGCCTCCCAACTGGGAGCTTTCTGGGTACACAGTGTGTGTCCATTTCCCTGATTGGAACTCGGGGTCCTGGAAATGCCACGGACCCGCTGATCTGAGACTGCCCAGGGGCCAGTAGTGACCATGGTGACAGCAGGCATCCAGTGACGACCGCTGCCTTAAAGGAGCCCAGGGGCATCATGGGTTATGCATTGATCAGCAGTTCGAAACCACCGGCCAATCTGTGGGAGGGAGATGAGGCTTTCTACCCCCATGAAGACTTAAGGGCTCAGATAGGCACAAGGGCAGCCCTCTGTGGAGTTGCTGAGCTGTCATGGGCTCAGTGAGTTTGGGTTTTGGGGGCTGTTAAGGAGTCTTGCAACTTGACATGGGGGTGAGGTAAGGGTACCACTAAGATGATATGGCTTCTAGGATCTCAGAGACCATGGGAAGTGTAAGCTGGAACGCACCCCCCCCCCCAACCCACCCACGTTTCCAGCAGTACCTTTTCTTGCTTTGTTCTCCCAAATGGGAAGTCCCAAGGGTGGGGTCCAAGAGGGTCCTCTGACTTGGCTGTGGCATCCCTGAGTCGGCCCTGCCCTGTGGGCCTGGGCCTCAGTCTCTTCATAAGTGAAATGGCGGCACAGTTATACGTAGCTCTGAAGGAAAAAAACCTGCCAACCAAGCCCCCCCAAAACAAAAGGGGGGGGGGGGTTTGCCTAAAAGGAGGACTTGTGCCCCCCTCAGTCCATGTTCAGTGTGTCACTGCCCACTGGTCCTTCCCTGTGCTTTCTGAGCCCTGTAGATGGCTGGGAGTGGTAGGTAGGACCTTCCTGTTGCGCCACAAGGCAGCCCTGGGCATTGGGGTTCCAGGCCCCGCTGTGTGGTGTGTGGTCCCAAGAGTTTTCCCTCTCCCAGCCTCACTTGCCTTCTCTGTTAATCGGCCTAGGGAGACTTATGGTGTAGGGGTTGGCCCCCTCTCTCCTTGATTGGCAAGCACTGTAGAGACCAGGTCTGGGGGGCAAGTGGGGTGTGATGAACCTTAGGGTTCTAGATTCTCAAGCTGGGCTAGAAGGACCCCTCTAGCCACCACTCCCCTCCCCAGTTTGAAGGTCACTGTCTTTCTGCCAACGGGGCCTCTTTCTGCCCCTCCTCCAAGCTCCACCGCCTGCCTCTTCTCCCCCTTCCCTGTCCTTCTCTAGTGCTCTCAAAAAGTAATCATAATAATTAATCACAACAGAGCCCAGACCCATCTTAAAGGGGCAGAGCCCCTTTTTCTCAGGGCAGAGCTGGTGGTCCTTCGAAGCCCTGTCTTTGTCCCCACCCACCCCCATCCTCCAGCCCCTGTGGGGGAGGATGGTGTCAGGCAGGCCAGCATTTTTGCCTGCATTCTCCATCAGGCACTGGGCTCCGAGTGTTTTAATTGAACTGTCTTTTCTTCGAGATAGATGCTCTCGCTGCATCCAGCTGCCTGTGTGTATTGGGAGGCCCGCCTGTAATGCAGTGTGGCTACGCGAAAAGACGTAGCAGCTGGACTGATTAAACAAGGGGGGCTAC